ACAAAGTACTAACTTCCCTCATTTTTAATAGATAATGTTCTCTTTGCCAGTCTTGGCTGCTTCTGACTGTCATACTAATAAATGGAACTTTTATTTTGTGTAATTCTGCAGGCTGAAGTTGAACGAATTGAAATTGGTGACTTCAAAAGCTCAGGCATGTTTTCCTTGATTTAAAATATTTAATGCATGCACTGCATTTGGACTTTTCTCATATTTCCTTGATCAAAATAAAGATCCATACATCTTGGTTAAGTTCTGCATTTTCGAGTCACTGAATATTTAAAGAGAGAAGAAAAATAGATCAGAGGGAAAACTTTGTTAAAAAAGAATGATTTTTTCCCCTAGAATGATTATCATGTGCTCATGTCAAGGCAGCAAATGAAGCTAAAATTAAAAGAAATGGTTGTGGTAAGAAATGTAGGAGTTGTACGAGGATACGTTTTTTTCATTCACCCCATCTTTTTTCCGACAATATTTCCGCTTCTCTCAAATTTACTTCTGAATATTTTATTGAGTTTATACTTTGGTTACTTGTTATGTACATCACTTAGTGCAGTTCTATTTTCAAGTTTCACTGCATTTATTAATGGTAAAGAAAATAAAGGCACTTGCAGATGCGATATTTTTTATTTAAAAATTGATGTGCCATCAAAAAATTTTATAATTCACCCACAACTGTGACTAGTCATCGGGATAGATCCTACCACTTTCAAATGCAGTTTTAAGTTCTTCTGCAGCTGCAAATAATTTTTCCTTAGATGGCTTTGTTGCTGTTGCCTTTACTTTTTGCATTAACTTGTGTATTGTGAGAATGTCTACAAGATTCGTGGATGATTTCACTCTAAATCTGTAGCGACCGAGAACTTTTAAATAGAATAAAATTATTTCTTAAAAAACGTGTCGCTAAACTCTAAACCCTAACATTAAAGTGAGAACGTGTTCGTCTAACCGTTGTAAACAAATTTGAATTATTTCTAATCGAATCAATTTCCGAATAATTT